TGCATGGGGCATATTGAACCACTCGATCGATTTACCGGTAACAGCGAGAGGGTGAATATCATACACTTTGATTGCAACATTTACTGCTGCGGATATCAAAATTTGAGACATGAGAATGTTTTATCTAGTTTGCATTTGAATCATTTTTCAGTCCAAGTGAAACGTGGAGTGGGAATTCCAAATACTACAAACTTTGAGTGTACCGGATTGACGTCCGATGATTGAGTGACTCGTAGATACCGAACCCCCGAATTCGTGTCAGAACACAAGGCTGGGAAATCTACGTGTACTGCATAATGCATCGTGAATCAATGTAAATACAACGACATCTCAAATTAGGGGCAACCCGGTCTGGACAGAACTATCGATTCAATACGACAACAGCAAACGTGCCAGGAAACCACTCTCTTGGAAATCAGAGGAGGAATGCGATGTGGATATAGAGACAGTGCTATTTAAGGGGAGATGAGGACTAATCACAGGGAAGAGAAAGCGAAGTGACACCAAAGTCGGGGAGTGACAGACGGCAACCGTAATCACGGTGTAATTGAGGTAATAGACAACAGACACGAGGAGGGTGTCTGGGGTAGTTAAACACACAAGAGCGGGCGGTAGCATGTGGGTGAAGAAACAACTGGTTGCGAAAAGGAATGAACAGTGAAGACGGTAGAGTAAACACAGCTGGTGGGTGATGAAACGGTGACCACAATAACAAGCGGCAGTTTCTATGCCGGATCAAGATAGTTGAAAATAATAATGGATCAAGCACAGAACGAGTTACGACAGTTACTACGACAAAGTTCCATGAGAGGTGGCAATAATAGAATACGACAATAGGACAACAGTTACCACGACACAGTTTCCGTGTGGGGTGGAGATAAAAGATTACAGTAACAAGTTGGACGAGGAAGGGTTCACGACAATAAATACCAAACGGTTTCCATGTGGAGTGTCGATAATATATCGCGATAACAGGCCGGACGAAGAACGGGTTCCGAAGATTAATACCGGGAGTTGCTATGTGGGGCGAAATTACGGGAAAGTACGAACCAAATCTTCATGGAGGGGGAACGTAGCAAGTTCCGATAAGGTTGGCGAAGGTCAATAAACTGGGAGTTGCTTAGGGCCAAACATGAACTATTAGGTTGTTAACAGAGGTAGTTCCGGTGTATGCAATTTCAATCACACAAAAAAAGGCTTCTTACACTGAAAGAATGAAGCCGGCAACCTAGTCAACAGTTCTAAAGCATTAATTTGAATGAGTGCCCCTGAGATGAGTGTTGGGCGCCAAGGTAAAAAGCGAAGATATAGGTGAGTGCGGTTCTGTATTATCTCCTGCAGTAAAATTAAGTTCCCTCAAATTGAGCAATACCGAATATAGCACAACCCAAATGATTTCATTTTTCCCACATAGATTTGAAATACAGTCCTTCAATCATCTTAGCGATCAACTTTAAAAAAACTATTTTACTAAATCAAACATAAACATCATTGTAATATATTTCAAAATGTGATAAGCTTTGCATTTAGTTTAGATTTATTCGAAATCAGACATAAGAACTATTAGCAAACTCATTAAAACTTTAGGGGATAGAACGTCGTATAATTAGTGTTGCCTACAAATTTTGAATACATGATACCATCTTGTGGTAAGTTGAACTGAAATGACAAGCTAAACTATTCAGGGATGGTTGTTCGGAGGAACCACCCGACAGATTCCGCTTCACGTTCAGGTGACAAATAAGAACGAAAGGCGACTTCAATGAGTAACTAAATGTATAATTAAATTGTAATAATTAAAAAACGTCCTTTTCAAAATACCATTTCCAAATGTTTTCCCTGCTGCTCAGTTAAATGATTTAGCACATCTAAAGTCCTTGTATACTTTGAAGTATCACAAGCTGCCTAAACAGCAACAACATTTCATTTAAAGAAAAATTATGATTATTCTAAGGAATCCTGGTGATATCTTTTTCTCAAAACCCCATCGATAAATTTGATGTAGCCAATCTAGAGGATTACTAAATCTAAATAAAACAACGGTTTGGAAACTCGGGAGCTATTTCACGAACTATGAATAAGGTCTTCAATATATAAAATACATTTGCAAATAATTTTGTTGAGCGAAACAATACTGTCTCTATGTAAACATCTTCTACTCCATTGGCGCCTTAGGAGAAACCAGTTTTGATTGTATTAAATTCTTTCTTATTGACCGATGCTTTGATTAATTGGGTTCCTGGAATCTGGTCAGTCAAATTCATGATCACTGCTTTGTGTAGGCTGATAGGAAATTGCTCTGACTAGCAGTATTATCGATCTGGGTTACAAATATGTCCCATCAGATATGTTCTGGCAAATCATCATCTACACAAGAGTAACCAAATTCTCTATGTTATACGAATTGGTCAGGGAAGCTGGCTTTCACTTTTTCTCGACATATGAATACAAAGACACATCGGTATTGTAAAAACGTTGTTCTTGCATACAAAAATAAACATTTAATTGCAAGATATCATACTTTCATGTGCTCATTAAGACGCCCCGTTTAAGACTTTGCTTGGGATAAAATGTGTTGATCGCGGCAGGTTTAGCAGACAAACAGAAAAAGGAGCAGAATAATACGGGAATAATAGTAATAACAAACGAGGACGTTTCGCGTATCATCCACCAACTAAAATAGCTACACACGTGTCTCATTTGAATTGTTTTAGACACATGAAAACATATGAAGAACGTCCCCCGTGATCCTCTCCGCCATGGAGTATTCACTGAATGATTTGAATAATCACAGAATGTTTCATACCGATCTATCGATTCCATACTTTCAAAAGGCTTATTCCAATCTGGGATGTTCTATCTTATTGAATAAAGACTTATATATCAAAAAGAATTCATAACCACTTCTTCCACAGATTTTTGTGCTCAAAACAAAGTGACATTATTTGAGTGTTTGTGGTGACACGGTGAAGATGACTATAGTAGATTTATGGTAAATTTGTTAACCACAAATTAATGCAAGACTCTTCTAAAACAAAGCTGGTTTAGATTCGACCTTTATTGAATGTACAAATAAACTCAAATCATCATCGTTTCGTCCTTAGTGCGTCTTATAATGAATTGGTAATTACCAACTGTTTAAAGCTATTTCCGGGAGCAAAAAAGTTGCTCTAATTACGTTCAGATGTAGCATTATTGACATAACAACCAATTGCACGAATGTGGGTAGACGAGCAGATAACTCTATTAAAGTTGATTTGTTTTCAATCATTTAAAAATGAACGTATTTGAAACATCAGATTGTACGGATTAGGGTTTATTCCTGTTTTTGTTTTTCCCGGTCTGCAACACATGAGTTCTAACATGTGTCAGTTATTTACCTTCACGGGTTGTAGTAAATGCTCGTACTGAACTTGGAATAGAAAATTCAGAATTTTAAACAGATTGAGGAAGAGTAGACAGTGAATGATACTATACATTCAGCAAAAAATGTCCGCTACACTGTGAACAATTAAGCATTAAGGATCTGAGATCATGAGCGGTTTAGTCACGCTAAGACAGTAAACACACCATTATATTTCAAGTTCAAGTGGATTCGGGACGTTTCCATGGATTACGTACATAAATCATTTGTTCCGTTTTAGATTTCGACCACTTTTTAAGACTATCCTTTGATGATTTTTAGGAAACCAAAATGTGGTCAAAAAAATGAGTCAGCTTTCTAATTCATGTTGTGCTACGGATCAACTTTTTCAAATTTATTTAATTGTGATTAATCGAATGCGCACACTTGGTAATATACCGGCCTTCGTGTTGATATCCTTATTATAGGAAGACTTTAAAATATGGATCTCGGACTTCCATCATATATATACATATATCAGTTATTGCTCAATTAATTTAAGTCCTCATGCTTTGACTGCAATTGTGCATGAGGGCTGTTTAAACCGAAAAAGATTTCAATTCGCGAGACTGTATTCGCGCGTGAAACTTCTCTTTGTCATAATTTACAAGAATCATACGTTACTTTGCTGTTCAAGTTATGGTAACTGATACTTTTTTCGAAGATCAAAGTGACACGCAAACAATGAGTTGACTAGCGTGGGCACATCTAGCAATAATCAGGTATCAACTCCCGTAAGGTGACACGTATTACGTGCGCAAACATGATCGCACGCAGGTTAATCTCCTCAAATGTTTGGTTGCCAACACACAAAAATTCACCAAGATATGCCTCAATCCAATTGGCCTATAGGAGAATTTTCCCGTGTGCTTTTATAGCCGTTTCAATCTGCATCCACGTGAGCAAACATTTACGGTTCTAATAAGATAAAATTGACATTCTGAATAAATTATTTATTGGTTTCTCTTGCTTTGTATTGTGATAAACGGCTCACTATCGTATAGTAAATCCTTTTGGAGTTTAGTCAAATATTTTTACCTTTGGATGAATTTCTCTGTCACAGTTTGCTGAGTGATACGTCCGTAACATATGGCTTCCTGAGTTACTCACATATTTGGAACGCTCATCAAACGCCATCCGTCAGCTGATTACTAACAGCTTGTTATCTTGGTTACTAATTTACGTGTTCAACGCAATTAAGGGTAGCATTCAGCATTCAACCAAACTGATCTACTTATAGTCCCTAAGGTCCAACACCTTCAAACAACATTTAACTGTGTGAAATTTCTGCATGAAGCTTCTACATAGCCCTTTTTGGTTTTTGGACCCTGAATTCCTTCCATTTTCACCCGCTGTAAACCAGTTTTTATTATTATCAAACGCAACATTTAGAAAATGTAGAAAATATTGGATCATAATTGCATTCACCGTACTACATCTACTTTGAGCAAGTGTAATCCAGGAAACCAGATATTCACGACAAAGAACCTTGTTTTAGTTTCTCTTTACGAAGTTGTTGGGTAAGCTATAATTTAATTCCGGTACGCTTATCCTTGGTGACTGATGAGCACAATGAATTGTAACGCTGATTCAAAATATGCTTCTTAAACCCATTCCGAATAACACGCTAGACGTGCAGATAATGACGTCAGAATACGGATCAATGAAGTCCCCGTACATGTGCATGAAGTTGATGCCTCCGCAGGGTGCTCTCGGTTCATCGGACAACTTTATTATTATTGGTCCAGTGAGTCCAAATCGGGATGACCACCTGAATCTGTGCCGATATTTATCAACGTACAAGAAGATGTCGTCACTCGGTCGGAGCTATCGAGTTGTGTGACGCACACGTTACCAGCTCGTCGATAGTAAGTAGATTCTTGTTACAATTGAAATACTACATTTGAAGATAATTTTATGCTGAAAAAGCATTGCAAATCGTTTAAAGTAGATCTTGTGAAACTGAATTCATTTGTGTCTGTTAGCCGAGCTTGGCAAGCTGACAAACTTGTTATCACTATCAACGTGACATAGCTGCTGTTTTGCTTCTACCTGTTTCTTTTGTGCTTTTCTTCCGCAACTGTTTTGTTGTTTTGTGGTAGACCGCTGTTTCTAAAGTACTTTATGGCGTTCTGTTGATCAAGACGTCAAAAAAGCCAGTTGATGTCCTTCTCTGTCTCACTTGTGAAGTTAATCTCGTTGAACGGGTTATTCTTCATGTTGCTTAATTCTTTGTCGCTTTGAATTCCTCAATTTAACGAATATGCCATCAAAAGATTAGAGCCAACGTTTTGGCCTGAATTTCGCAATAGGACTTCGGGTAGCAGTCCGCATATTGGTGGAGTTAATAAATGAGCGCTCATCAAACCACCCAATGGAATCAGATGACATTTGTGAAATCCTAGAAGCGTACTTTGTGTTCCAGGGAGAAATCTACAAACAGCTACTTAGACCATACGAAATCCAGGTCGTACACAAACCAGAAGCCTGTCGACGGAAACATCGCAAATGACAGCGATATATCTAAAAGTGATAAGCCATTTAAACTGATCCGAAGTGTTAACTTCTTTCCGTCGATGTATTATTGGTTAGTTCAGTGCATGTGAAGATACTGCATGGGCGAATGAGGGTGTTTGAACGTTTCGATATCTAGATGTCCCGTTGCGCAAACTTTAAAATGAGGTTTGCTTAATGCCGTGATTTGTTAAACAGTTGATCGATATCACTAAATGGTGCTGAGCTCGTCTCAAAAGAAAAGTATTGTAAACATTTGGTGATCAGAAGCCCTCGGAGCTGAATGAAGTGTTTGCAAGCTGTTGGAAGTAAATTTCTCAGTTTTGGTCTATACAGTATTGCTGACATTGTGCTCTGATTCGATGTTGGCGTTGCTTGCAGAGATGTTCCAACTAAATAAAAATGTCAGTTCTTTTCAATGAACTTTTGCCTCTGTATATGTATATTAAAGGCCTGTTGGAATATATTTCAGTTTGATTTCTGAACTGTGAGCACGGCTCTAGGTGATTAGCCTGCTCTCCCCATATGATCGATTCGTCGAACCAAGGCTTTCATTTCGTTGATCCTTTTCATCTAGTAAACTATACACTACACTAGAGATCATATATTTCAATAGGAAGTAAATGAGAAGCCACCGGATACAATAACCACTGGAGGCGGACTCATGTACTACATGGATATGTCTTCAAACATGACCATAAATGCAAAACGAATTATTTGGCATACAGGCTTGAAAGAGATTTTGATTTTGTGTGACTAGTACAACTAAATAGTTGACCAACAATCGAAGGATGACTCAGTGAGTTAGAAAAGAAAGCAGCACATTGAATTAGGGGCTGGTACGGTCAGTAGTAATGAATTAAATCTGTGTAATAACAGTAATGTTTTCAGACTACTTTTAAAATTTCTTCAGTGGCATTGCATAGCTAGCTTTAGTTTATAATCAATCTGATTATTATGTTTGGGCGGAGATCGACTATTCAAACGTAATATTTAATTTTTATTCTTCAGAATGAGTGACAGTTTATACCGCACAACATTCACACTCTCAAAGCATCATTTAATATTTGTTTCTACTATTTGAAAATCTAGAATTGCTAAGAGGCCGTATTTAACATCCCAGAAAACCGTCTAAGTAAACCAACTACTTTCCCATTTGAACAACCAGACTCGCTTCCTTTTACCCCTTTGCTGCAGGTTTGCTTGATGAATGCGATTGGTCCGCAGGACGAAGTGTGTTCTCCTCCTAGCTCAAATGTCATTACACCACAGATCGTAACAGCCACACACCCCTTATCATGTTTATATGCATCATTGTAGTTATCTTTACCACCACCACCACCACCACCACCACCACCACCACCACCACGACAAACAAGCGTCACAAAAACAGCTGGATAGAAATCCGTGCACGCAGCCAGGATAAGAGGGAGTCCAGCGCTTATGAGCATCGCCTTAGGTATACATGCAAACGCGGTCTTTGCTCATTAACGACGGCACCGAGGGACCACCCACAAAGGTGAACGTGTCACAAACCTCTACACCGTCTGCCCAGAACCAAACGCAGTGCACCTTAGTGATGCTGCCGTGTGCATCCGTTACACGTACTACGAAACCTTTTCTTCCATTACTATTTTTCATCTGTCAGCTGATTTTTTAACTTTTGATGGTTGAACATTAGCTAACGCGCGATTGCCAGAGATCCAAGCGGCTAACAAAACCGAGTAGAATAACAAAAAAGGATAAACGTGTGACTAATAGATAATTAAGTAGTATTGATGAAATTGATGAGAAGGAGAGAGAAAGCAAAAAATATATTAGAATCAAGACAGTATGTGCATTATATCGTGGAAAAAGTCCCTTGTCAATTTGCCGCTCTTCAAATAAATATTGTCATTGTATTCTATCAAAGTAATTCAAAGTGGTATCTCATACGAGGAAGCATATGCATTTGGGTTAAAGCCATCAAGTCTGCACATTAATCATCCCGAAACCATAAAGAAACAATTGATGTTCAAATGGAGAACATTGTGCGTCAAGTCACCCCTCTATTGCCACCGCTGCTGCGACCACCAATGATGTTATTTTTCTCTTTCTCTCTTTACACGTCACTTTATGCCTTCCTACCGGATATTGCTATTTTACTTGAAAATTTACGCAGCAAACAAGTGACTTCAAAGGAGAGATGGCTAGAATAAATCAGCTTTGAAAGTTACATCTCTGTTATACTGTTCAATTCATTAAAGTAAACGATAAATGTGAGAGATCAATCTAGGTCCAGACAGATTGTATCATTCATTCTGATCCCGGACCAAACCTGTCATTTCGATGGATTTATTGCTTCACTGGTTTTGTCTCTCCAGAAGAAACACAGATACATACTATAGAAAGTTTCAATCTGATCAACTCACCCAACTTAATTAGTCACATGCTGTTTACCTATTGCTACAGACTTAAGTCAACACACAGTATGGGTATTTGAAAACCACCAAAGATCAACGCGTAGTATTCAGTTAGAGGTTTCACATTCGTGTTTTTCTATCTAAAAGATGATCAACCTGATTCCGTTGTCACTGACGAATAAACTGAAATGTTGCAAACTGCACTGATCGGATAGAGCGACGTAGACGAACTAAACCGTTTGTATCGGACTGCTAAACCATTCCAATGCTGTGGTCATTGAAGCATACCAGATAAATAATAGTTACCTTACAAAACAATCTGGGTATACCTTTTCGATACCTCTTAGATTTATTCACTTTAAGATATAAAGGTCAACGTGTTGAGAAACTTCCTTAGCCTTTCAGTACGAGAATAAATCACATCATTCGCAAAAGCACCAAATATTTTACTATTTGTAGCATAATATCTAATGCATCACATACCCTATGTATTTTCGTCTACTTTGTGGTCGAATTAGTGAAATGTGAGCTACCTGGCTGTATTCGTTCGGAAAAATATCGATTTACTATTATTTAAACATATTACAGTCTTCTGCTCCCGCAGTGAACTCTCGACGGATTTTAGCAACAAACTGCATAAGGAAATAAACGGAGTTACACAAAGAATTTTAACCTTCAAAACAAAGGTACGTAGTACACTTCTCGTCTGCGAAAAAAAATCAATGCCAAAAGGTTTGCAGTTTGAACTCACCGATTTATTATAAGAGTAACCTCTGATTAAAACCTGTTATGTTACAATACATTCATTGCGACGCAATAGGCTACTTAAACCTCCCATTTAGGTGAAGAAAATTTGGATGAATCTCACAACCCTTCGCAAATCGTTGCCATCTTTCAAATATGAGATACTGTAAACTGCCTGCATTCTTCCACACTGGCTATACTGCTCCCCGATTTTTATCCCTGGACTGAAAGACAAAGACTTCAGTTTATTTTCCAAATCCCTTAAACTTTTGTCGTGGTACATTGGGGTTGATAAAGTTGTTTTAGTTGATTTCTGTATTTTCAAGCATCTTGATGCTTGTGATACCTTCATTGACCGGATAACACGTCAACCGGGACACTGTCTGCACCAAGATATCGTGAGAGCCCTGTCAAATCCCCAAACTCGTTCCAAATATCCACTTCTTCCTGCGCTAACTTCCACATATCGAAACAGTGTAATTCCATATCTATTTCGGTTATTCCTAAATTGTCAGAATATTCTCACTCACCTCAGGGAAACCCTTGCCCTAATTTTTCTCTCATTTACTAAAGTGTAGCATTTCTTATACTCTCTTCCTTTGTTTGCAACTGTTTTACCTATCCACCGTAAAAATCGCAAACTAATGAAAATTTACCCTTTGGATGCATAGAGCTTTTCCTTACTTGACTAGATTTGACTTGTTATATTAATCACAACTTTTATCCCACACACACTTTTGAAACAACCCTTTGTTGTAATATTAAGTTTGTTTTCATCGCCGAATATAACAACTTTGACGAAATAATTTTGGAATTAAATCGTTCTCTCTTGCAGTGTTGTACTCTGATCAAGCTAACCTCGGGAAATAACTGTTTTTTTCAAACTGCACTTCCCGAATTGTCAAGCAGCGATGCTAAAACCTTCAGAATACTGTACGAAGCCATTTTCTATCTCAGTTTGTCCAATCTAACAAGCATCCCGTTCCGTTCTTCAAACGTCTCCGAGGATCTAATATGCGTCCGTGTGCTCACAATCTGAAGAGATTCGCAAAATACTGCAATGTTGAAACAAACAAGAACTTGTTGGTTGTATCAAAACTGTACCCATGCCAGGTGAGCTCAATTTAGTTTACCGGATAAAATAAATAAAAATAAAATAAAAAATTGTGCCAATGTGATTCGG